ATATATGTATATATATATATATGTATATATATGCTCTAGCAAGTGAAAACGAGATCAGAGCAATACTGTTGAATGTAACCATCCGCATAAAGAGTTCCAAGAAAGGACTGCCATTAACGACGTTCGTTCACTGAGACAACAAACTGCTGCCAGCTGCTGAAGAATGGTTGCAGATTTATGTACCTAACAAAACGAATAAAAGAGAGCAGTTTAGTTAAACAAATGTGCAGAAGATCTATCCTGGATAAGCTTAAACAGATTTGAAGTTTTAATAAAATAAATGGGTCATTTACGAACATAGCACACAATTCTTATTTATTCACAAAACTCACAACTAAAGATTCATATTTACACACATAACACTCAAATCTTTGATATGACAACAAAAATAGCACTATTACCACTTTTAAAATTCAAATACACCATTTCATGCATAGGTTTAAACACCAAAGTGCTATATGTAAGTAAATATGTATGTTTAGGGGGGAGATATGTAAATACATAAGAATTGTGTGCTATGTACGTAAATTTCCCATGAATAAATTCTATTTTGAACTCGTTAACCACGAATGGTTACTGTTGAAGGGAACGAAGGAATTGAAGCTGGGGAATACTATTGTTAAGCTGATAGGAAGCTTATATATCCTCTACTACTTGTTAAAAGACCGGAATAATTTCAAGGGCATTTACATACATACCACCCAATTCTTTTATATTTACATATCGAACATCTAAACATTGCCCTTTCTATTTAGACCACCCAAGTCTTATATATCACATCAAATGTACCACTATTTAAATTTTTAAAAAGTAAAATGTCTTTTCAGGTACAGGTAAGTTGACATATATGTAAAAAATGAAGTTTGGGTGCTAGATATGCAAATACATAAGAATTGAGTCTGTAAATTTTCCAAATTTTAAATAGTGATAACCCAAAACTTTCTTAAATTGGTCATCACATAAGTTCAAGGTGACACCAAATCAACCATTAGAAAACTAGAAGGAAGTGTGGCCTATAAGTCCTACACATTTTGAAAATTCGACTAGAGCCTACTTGATTAGTTATAGAGCTTTAATCTTAAGCTTCCTGAACTTCCACAAATGACAAGAAATAAAGTCAAGAACAACTGTGTTTGGATGACTCATGTGCCCCATGGCAACCTTTATAGTGTGGGCTCCGGAAATTTCAAAGCCCCAAGACTCTTTGTTTGTTGATGAGAGCTTTGTAAGTGTTACGTAACAAATTTTCAGAAGGCAGATGAGATAGTAAATAAAACACTACCCAGATATTTTACCATCATTTTATGAGAACCTTTTTGATCTGGGATTTGAGATTTCTCAAAAGTGCAAGCCTCTATGGTTAATTATCCCTTTGATGAGGGGATATCACTTTCAATTAATGCTAGTCATTAAACATTGAGTATTCAACGTATAATAGCAACAAATATAAGATATTAGATTATAAAATTTATTACCTTAAGTTTAAAGAAAATAGTGAGAAAATTGTGACGAACCTGATCAAAATCTCATTGTTCAGCCGTCTCGAGTGGTCACGGTCCCTGATTTACTTAGTGTGAAGATGTAATCGACCCAATCTAACTGAAGAATATTAGTCATGGTTGCTTCATCTAAGGGACCCATGATCTGAGGTAGATGTTTGTCTAAGGAGACAAATTTAAGCCGACCTTAACTAAAAAAAGACTATGTCAATCAAATGTACCCTCAGGGTTCACAACTAAAAAAATAGAAAGTTATTGGGGAACATACGAGTTACAGTTGTGACAGTAATATAATTGGTCGTAACCGCTATTTTTTGTGTAACTTTTATGTCAAAAACCACGGACAGAAGGCTTAGACTACGTACTTACTGACAGGAGATTAGTTTGAGTGTGAATGTAGTGATATATTCGATGCGACATTCGCTCTTTGTGATCTGAAATCAATCAAAATTTTGTTACTCTCGACTAATTATTGCGAAGGGTGGATGAATTTTCTTTAAGTTTTTTAAGTGATTAATTTTTAACTTACTATATTAGTTGGTTACTTTGAAAATCTTAATTTAAAACTTGACCCACCTGGTTAAGATCTTCAATCAGCACGTTCATCATTGAAAATTTTGAGCATTTGAAACTCTTATAGTTGAAGCTCATCTGAAATTTATTAGTCAAATAACTTTAGAATGTTAGTTTTATAAACTCAAATCCTTATAAAAAAGATCATACTAGATAATTTGGACTTGCTAACTCTTATACTTGTGATCTGAACATTATTTCAAAATTATTTGAGTCGTCAACTCCAATTCTCAAGAGGAGGATCCGTACTACGGTGGAATTTACAACTCTGCCCTGTAGACAATGTGACTCAAATGAAAGCATGCATGATTTGATCATCTTGAATTTAATTTTATTTAGAATATGAAAGGTCTAAACTTTAAAAATAATCGGAGCAACTATTTGAGTGCAAGTTTAACTTTGACCAGCAAAATATTCCAATTTAGTGGAGCACATACAGATTGTCACTTTCATATATTTAGATATTTTAAATAACTTTACATGCCTTGAGACAATTTACATGATTTTAAAAAATGAATTAAATCACAATTTACTTTACAAGACATTTGTAAGACTTTAAATTTATATAAATCAATGGTAACAAAAAAAAAACATTTTTCAAACTTATGAGTTTAAAAAAAAGTTTTATTCATTTTTTTTAATGCTTATAGATAAAACCTTGATTTTTATGCATTATAAAAATTTTCATTCAGACGGTCATTTACACTGCCATTGTCGGGTCTGGGGGTCCCGAATGTGAAAAATGGCGGGTTGCATTAAGTAGTCGACAACAAGCGTAAACATTTTATTGAAAATATCATCATATGAATCATATAAATCATTGTATAAATGATAAGACGTCCCCTGAAAGCAATGCGCTGTATAACCTCAATACAATGAAATGTGATGAAAGATTGTTGCACTGGTGCCCAAATACAGTGTTAAATAAACAAGTCTTCCCACATTATGGATGGATATAGTCAAAGAAGTTAGTTCATGAAACTAATATTATGATAGAATTTTTGAATATAAGTACTCTCATAAGTAAATTAATGGAATTAGTAGGTATCATGATTCATAGTAAGATAAATATCTTATGCATTCAATAAATTAAATGCGTTCGAGAAAAGAATAAGGAGATTAATAGCTTAAGTTTTAAACTTTAGCATTCCGATAGACGTCGCACTAGTAATGATGTATGTGTAAATTATAGATAAGAGTTTGAAAGATAATGTTCTAAAAATTAATAGAATTGAAGATAAAATTATAACCTAAAGATTGTTGTTAATACTAAAATTTGTAATGATATAAAGGCTTATGCTCCTCAAGTAGATTTAGATGCATCTTCAAAAGAAACATTTTGGAACGATCTAGAATAATTAATACAGATGATACTTCTTGGAAAATGAATTTTTATTGGAGGAGATTTAAATATACATATTGGTAGAGTGGTTGAATATTTGAAAAATATTTATGGTGGCTCTGAGTTTGGAGTGATTAATGAAAAAGAAAGTTCTTGTGCGTGGAAATCGAGTGACTCGACGTTTTACTCGTGTAGAGGAAGAGGAGTAAGAAGAAGCCGCGTGCAATGTTGGGTTGACTACTCGAAAAAAGAGGAGTCGTTCCCTACCAAGTGGATATGTGCGCGGTGGGTGTGTGGTGCTCGCTTGTAGAGATCGAACGAGGAAGGAGACCTTTGTGTTGTGCTCACATGCAAAGACCGAAGGAGGAAGGAGGAAGGAGGCCATCGTGTTTTGCTTACGTGTATAGGAAGAGAAGTAGGTGGAGGCAGTAGCGATTGGTTGCTGCCCTGGGTAGAGCCATGCGACCGAAGGCAGAAGGAAGAAGAGCTCGTGTGTGCATAAGGTTAAGGCAACCGATGGTTATAAGGTATACTTAAGATTTTGAATAAGTTATTTTATATATTGTTATATAAATAAATACACATATATGTGTGTATATGTGTGTGTGAGTGTTTGATGCAAAGTTTTATCGAATCAGGTTTGAAGTAATTTAAATCTAGAAATTTAAGGGGGAGTAACGCAAACTTCTTTTGCAAGAAAAGTGGAAGAATTTCGGGCAGCAAAAAGATTAGGATTTTTAATAAGTTATTTAATGAATTTGATATGTGTGAGTGTTTGTTCATTATATTATTTTAATAGGAAATTAAATTAAAACAAGACCCTATAAGCAAAGAACTTTTACTTTGCACAATTGGGAGGCAAAAATTATTGACTTCATACAATTAGGAGAAGGAATTGAAGACCAATAATTTTTTGGTAGTTGAGGAAGAGGTGAATCAAGACATTCAAAGAAGGACAATAGAGAGATTCAAAAATTATTTGTGCTAGAAGAAGTGAAGTGAAGAGTTATGCTTTTTAGAGTCAAATGTGAGTGATTATTTTTTTATACATTAAATTAACGTTTTATGAAATGCATAATTGATTAATCAAATGATTTAAATTAAATATTTCATTCATGTTGCATTTTTAAAGTTTGAAATTTGTATCTAAAAATGGAGGAACATAACAGACATATGAAGATACATTCGAAAAGATTCTAAATTGACATAAAACGATAAGTAAAAAAATTAAGTCATTTAGAATTACCTTTAGATCATACTAACAGGAAATGCATTGTACCCGTGCAAAAAAAATGGTAAAGATGTACATTTAGGTGCAAATTTTGATGGCACCTCAGGTTATATTTTAGAGTTTACCTTCGAGTACATTTTTGAGGATAGATTCAGATATGACGATCATCATGTTATGACTTTAAA